TGAATGTTGAGCGAAGTGGTGGGCTTGCTAATGTTAATAAAATGTTGCAGAATGTGTTTCACTGTCCTGAGGTTAGTTTGGAATGTTTCCCTGTGCATGCTTTATTGACAATTTACATCAAATTGGTAGCATCTCATCATTTTACATTTGTCTATGCTTCAGGACATATCAGTGCAGGAGGGAAAATCATTATCTTGGCCTCTTTGGTTTCATGCTGCTGTTCCTGGAAATATTTCTTTGTACATTACTATATATTACGAAATGGAAGATGTATCAAGCATCATGAAATTTTGCACTCTACGCATGCATTACAATTTGCAGGTATGAAAAGGAAGAGGCTGAGGGTTCAAAGTTTGATTCTTTTTCCATATTATTCCCATTGGTAGCTTAAAATATGGATTGTTTCTTAATGAGTATTTATTTAGCTTTGTCTTTTGAAATTGATTTGTAAAGTAACAAGGGGAAAAGGTACAATCAACAACATTTTAATCTATTTATGGTAGAGCAATAATAATATGGGTCATACAAAAAGGTAAAGATGGAAAAATGTGGAAAAACTAAGAAATAAAATTGTATGAAAAACTAAGAGTAAAACTAAATGTATATTGAAAAATTGCTCGTTAAGAATTATATAAGCACCTTAGCTTTATATACAACTAACAAGCACCTTAGCTTTATATACAACTAACTAGTGGGTAAACTAGGAAACTAAATCTTTCTAAAACTGATCCTATAATTTAGGGATTGTCTATCCTAATTTTTTGTCGTTAATTTTAGGGATATAAATACTTAATTCTAGAGATACAAATATAAATATACAGATTACAATATTACAATCAGTTGTAAATAAGTATTTCCCCACAAAAAGGAAAATGGTTGAAAGAGCAATATGTTGCAGCAAATTACAAGAAAATATCAAAGTTTAGTTGAGTAGAAATTATACAGAAGTTGAGTGCTATTTTCATGCATATAAATTTTTTATATTTAACTGATAGTGAGCTCATTACCACCCACTGCTTGTTAAAAAAATAAATTCTTAAAGTACTTAAAGTAGGATAATAAACTACTAATGTATGTCAGCTGATGGTAGTCAGGAACATTTCCTTAGAAAACTATTTATGTTTACCAATTATGTTTGAAGCAATTCTCCCCTTTTTGTTATCCAAATATCAGTTTACTTAGGGTGGTTTTTGGTGGATTCTTTTTCCCTTTTCTCCCTTTTGTCCTCCATTGGATAGGGGATGGGGATGGTGGGGTTTGAACTTCGAACTCCCACCTTATTTGTCTTCGTAAGCCTTCTTAACCACTAGGCTAAGAAGCTGAAGACCCTTATTTCCCTTTTGAACTGTTTATTAAAGAAGCAATTGTTATTTCAAATGGCCGTATGGGTGACACTTTGCTGGTCATATTTTTTTGTCTCTATATGTATTAATTGGTTACCTGGCCAATTCTGATATATTCTCTTCATCTTTGTTAGGTTTTACCATCATTAGATGTATCATTAGAACTTAGTCCTTTCCCATCAAGATTGCAAGAGTTCCTCTTGCGCATGGATGTTGTCAACAAGACTAGTTCTGAATGTTTCTAGTTTCATCAGTTGTCATCTATTGGGCAGCAGTGGGAAATCTCATTGCTTCAACCTGTTGATATCATCTTACCTTCTCAATCTTTATTTGCTGGTCAAGCACTGTCATGCTTCTTCATGCTTAAGGTTGGTACAACCATGAAAGGACTTGCACCTTGGATTATTCATCTGGTAAAATCTTGTGTACTTTTGAAGTGGAAGCATAACTATGTTGTGCCTTTTTTAATTTGTTCATCTAAGTTATGTTACTACTGGGATAGTTACATGTGCTAGCTATTATTAAGTGACTTTTCTTTTGTTGGGCTTTGTCCTGAGGGTGGGAGGGTGTTTGATCAAATGCCTTCCTGTTGGTTCTATGGGGCAGGATAATAACTTTAAATTATGATGTTGTACCTTTGAAACTGAGCCAACTTCAATGCCCATTGATAAAAACATAACATAGAGTAAAAAGATCAGGCAAGGGTTAAATCTGGGGCTTGGTTTGTGATCCAGACTCGAGTAACATGATCTCTAACCTTGTAGATTGTGCATAAGTTGCAATTCTACCTTGCATTAGTCTATCAACCTTATCATCTTTTAGTGTTAGTAAGTATGCTATTGGTCACATATTAGCTTGTTAAAGGCTTGTTTTGTCATCGTGAATTCTTCTATTGCCAAAAAATATTTGTTTGTTTCTTTCAGCTTCACCAGTTGACATAAAATTATAATCTACTTTAATTTTCACTTTATCAACTTCTGAAGACAGTATTCCTTCTCCTTCCCTTCAAAGTGATGTAAGATTGGGCCCTCTGGATAACAGTGAAGCCCTCTTTGATGTATCTAGTTCACCTTTGCCAGATTTCCACAATTGTGAGAGATCATACCAGGGAATGTCAAATCAGGTTGTTAACCTTCTTGCTCTTATCATGCTATTCGTATAACAATCAATTGTAATGTCTATCATTATGTTGATTACCATACATCATCAATACCATTACAGTCCAAATTCAGTTTATGTTGCTTCATATCTATATCACCATTTCATTCTTGACTCTCGAGCTTTTATTATTGATGATGATGATGATGTTTGCCTTTTTTGGATAACTAGATTTTTTTGGCCAATTTTGGATAATTAGATTGGAGTGGTTATTTGTTGATTCTTTGGATCTTTTAGTAGCCTGCTGATGCTTTCAGCTTTTATATTTTTCGTGGACCACGGGTATGAACATAATGTTGATTTCATTTTCATCACTCAACTGCGGAGGGGTAATATTGATTCTGGTGCTCCTAATACACCCCTTTTCTTTTCCCATCATGCTTGTCATTGCAAGTAAAGGCTTGGGCAACAGCAATAACTTTTAATGATGGATTAGTAGATACCACTTATTCTGATGATTACTTCTTTTTTTTTTTTTTCTGTTAGATGGGCCTCGGACCATACAACATAACTTTCTCAGCTTCTTTATGTGAAGTAAATTTGAAGATGACTATAAACAACTCATCTGATGCCGTTGCATCTGTCCATATCAACACCTTTGATTCACCCAGTAGTTAACAGCCAATCGATTGATGCTACTGCAGCTCAGTCAGGTCTCCCTCTGGAAAACCAAGCAGGGTGGTGTGATATTCCAGTAGTGAATGATATGAAAATCATCACCCCTGATGCTCTTGCAACGCGTTTTACAAAGTCAGTGTCCCTGGAAAGTGTTTCCCGGTTCATTTGGTCAGGGTCAAGCTCTACTAAACTCCTACTTCAACCTAGGTCGACCGCTGAAATTCCTCTTCAGATTTGTGTGTTTGCTTCGCGGATATATGATTTGTCAAACTATGTTTTGAATTGGAATCTTTTACCCATTAGTGATGAAGAAAATCAAGGAGAGGCCTCTGGAGTTTGCCAAGGATATCCCTATTTTCTTACTGTGCTTCAATCTGCTTGAAATGTTTGCTCATGTTCTCCGGTGACACGTGGTTGCAGTAATTTTGTAACTTTTACATGTAAATTACGGTGCCAAAAATGTATAATTCTTGGTATAATAGAAATTGAGAAAAGCTCAGTGAAGGTAGGAGATGAAACATTCTTTTTGGTCTCCAGGCAACAATAAGGGAACCAAAAAAAAAATGAATTTATTTTTGTTATTACTTCATGTAAATGAACTCAGAAGTTTTTAATGGAGAAAATCAAATAACCCTTTATATAATCACAATTCCAGCATTCAAGTTCAAAATGCATTCCATCTGTTCCCCTTGGTCACCTAAGTTAATACAAGTTGATGGTTTGAGGAATTACATTTCATAATTTTGGCCTCTGCCTGGTTTTTGGTGGAATAATTTCGTTTTCTTTTTTTTTTTTTTTAGCTTTTGTATCTGATGAGTTAATTATTTTTATATTTTAGGTAGTTTATGGATGATTTTTTATTTTTTCATAAATTGGTGATCAATTTTACTTTCATGGAGATGGAGACGTCATTCCAGTTAAATATGTTAGCAGCCAAACAATGCCAATACGGTTCATTGCATCCTAGAAACAAGGTTGCACAAAACAAATCCATGGTTTTAAATATGCTAATCCCAAGAAATCCATGCCTAAAACCTTACATATTTTATAAGAAAGAAAATATTGACCATGTCTAGTGACATTGATTAAAATGATATTTAAAGAAAAAAATATAATTAATGTATTATTTTTTCTTAAATAATATTTTAATTATCCTTTAAGGCAACCATAATAAATAAAAAGGCCCCAGCAAGGACAAGGACACGTATTTACTCTCACTGAAGGCTGTGATAAACTTGTATATATAGAAGAAACTAAGAAAAGTTGGAGTGGGATCCAAATCATAACTTGTTGGTTTAGAGTTTTTTTTTTTTTTTTTTTTAATGAAAATGCTGTAGTTTGGGATCAAGAAAATATTTTTAAGTCATGAACCAATGAGTTAATCCTTCGTTATATTATTTGTAAAGTTTATTAGAATAAACACCTAAAAATTAAAATTATTGATTTTAATAAATTTAAAATTTTGAAAAAAAACTTTAAAGCATGGTATCAATTTTTTTTAAATTTTATTAACTCTTCTGTAATATTTATTTAATAAATATATTTAAAAAATTATAGATAATAAACCTGAAAGATACAACGAAGCCCAAGCAAAGGGAAACAACTGAAAACGAGGGGGATTGAGAAAGATAACCTCAAATCAGTACGAGCAAGCCAAGTCTTCTCTTTTGTTGAACTACTTTTTAAATGCTCAAGTCTTCCCACCAACAACAGCACCAAGTCCTTCCAAAACCGAAGACATGAAAGATCAAATCAAATATATATTAGTAGAACAGTTGTACTAAATCAATCAATTATCCAAAAATTTTTACCCCACGCGTTTTCCCAATTTACTCGAACAATGAACATCCTTACTCGGTTATTGAGTCATGACCTTTTCTTTTCTTCCACCTTCCAAGATATTTCCTCTTTCTCTTTTCAATTCTTTGCTTCTTTCCTGTTTAAAAAAACAATAAACAATTTCAATGACAGTGCATGTCTATTTCATGCTTTCCTTCCCCCATTTGTTGAAACTCGAAACCTTCTTGACCCAAATCCCACCTTCAAAACCTCTTTTTTCCCACCATTTCTACCCACGTTTGCCTTACCCTTTTCTCACAATCTCTTAAAAAGCCTTTTTTTTTTTTTTTTCTGATCAAGAAGTTGGGTTTATGACTCGATAACCAAACACCTTCACCCGTATTAATACCATTTCTGTCTGATCCAACGAACGTTTTTAAAGCTCTGAAGAGTTTTTAACAAGAAAACCAAAAATGAATAATCTATTTTCAGGCTCTTTCTCTCGCTTCCGAGGCGAAGAAGCGTCTCCTGATCACCACGTAATCGAGATGACACAATCCTCCTCCACCTCCGGCGGTGTCAACCTCGACAAGTTCTTTGAAGATGTCGAGTCCATCAAAGACGAGCTCAAGGAACTGGAGAGGCTGAACGACAACCTCTCGTCATCTCACGAGCAAAGCAAGACGTTACACAACGCGAAAGCCGTGAAAGAATTGAGAGCAAGGATGGATTCTGACGTAGCCATGGCTTTGAAAAAGGCCAAGCTTATTAAGGTTAGGCTGGAAGCGCTTGACCGTTCCAACGCGGCCAACAGGAGCTTGCCTGGGTGTGGACCTGGGTCTTCTTCGGACCGGACGAGGACGTCTGTCGTCAACGGGTTGAGAAAGAAATTGAAGGATTCTATGGAAAGTTTTAATGGGTTGAGAGAAAAGATCTCGTCTGAGTACAGAGAAACTGTTCAGAGAAGGTATTTCACGGTTACTGGAGAAAACCCAGATGAGAGGACTCTTGATCTTTTGATTTCGACAGGTCAGTTCAAGCATTAGCTTTTTCTTTTTTGGTACATATCAAAGCCTGTTATTCAATCCGAGCTTTATAAAAAAAAGAGGGATTTTTTTTTCATTCCCTAAAGTTCATTATGTTTTTTACAAGATTCAGACAAAAAGATTCAACTGCTCTGAAAAGTTCAGAATTGATTGGTGAAAAGAAAAAGGTTGATTTGGTTAATTTAGACGGATTACTAATTTTGGGAACTTGTGTTAAAATATTGTAGGAGAGAGTGAGACTTTTTTGCAAAAAGCCATTCAAGAACAAGGGAGGGGAAGAATTTTGGACACAATCAATGAGATTCAAGAAAGGCATGATGCTGTTAAGGATTTGGAGAAGAATCTCAAGGAGTTGCACCAAGTTTTCTTGGACATGGCAGTGCTGGTTCAGGCTCAAGGTGAGCAATTGGATGATATTGAGAGCCAAGTGAACAGAGCTAATTCATTTGTGAGAGGTGGAACTGAGCGGCTGCAAACAGCTAGGAATTACCAGAAAAATACCAGGAAATGGACTTGTTATGCTATCATACTTTTGCTGGTGATCATCTTGTTTGTGGTGTTATTCACTGTGAGACCATGGGAAAACAATGGTGGCGGCGGCAGCGGTGGCAGCAACAGTCCTTCTCAAGCTACACCTCCACCTCCACCTACTGCCTAACCATAGGTTGCTGTGATTAGGCATAGATCAGTGTTAGCTATGCTATGCTGTACTCTTGTTTGAGATCTGAATTTTTGCATTTTCCTTTTTGTGGATTTGTTTAATGAATCTATCAAGAGAAGAAAGTTTGATGGACTGAGACATTTGGTTGAATGGCATTGAAGCTTTCCTCTGCATTATTTGTTGTTTATTGGAAAGCAGGGGATAGGGCTGGATTGGGAAAGGAATGCCACCATTTCTTTTCAAAATTCAGATAAACTTTCTTGGGGAGACAGTACCATTTTGATTATTGATTCTTTCCTGTAACTAATATTTTTGTTCTAGTTCTTTCCTGTTTTCATGGTTGCTACAGATACAGTTTATTCAAACATGTTCCAGTAGATATGTATCATCTTATTATTCTATAGTTTATAAATAAAATTTAGTTCTTGGATCATACACATTTTGGTCACCTGTGTGTTCCTGAATACGTTTTTGGCTGTACTTCGATTTGGAAAAAATTCAACAATGGTGACCTTCCACTAACCACTTGGCAATAGGTAATAGGAAAAGAAATAAATAACTGCAGGCAGAAAATGACTTGAAGATTTTCTTTTTGGTACTGGCTGGCACATGATGATCGACCATCTATTTGTTTACCGAAATCAGTGAATACAATTTTGTCTTCTTTCATTAAATCTTGTACCTACCAGAATATGACCACTCTTAGAAGCAAGTGTTTGACCTTTTTCCATTTAAATCATTTATAATTCACATATAAATTATAGCCTTTCCTGTCCCAACTCTTTCTCGTTAGTGGTTTTCCTGATAGGTTTTCGTTGAATTTGGATTTGTCAAGAAAGATGGCTTCCAGGAACTACACTTGGTGATAAGAATTTTTTTTTACAAAGAGAGATGGCAATATGAGAAGAAATTGTATGTAGGGATGTAGCCATCGGGACAGGCAGGACTCACGGCCTTTCAAAATTTTTTTACTTAATTATAGAATAATACCCAATCCCACAAAAAAATGCTTAGCCTTCTTTTTTCATTGAAATTGTTATTTAGCTTATTTTTTTCATATTCATGTTTTTACTTTTATTTGTAGGTGTTAAAATTAAAATTAAAATTAAAATTTATTAAAATTTATATATATTTTAAAAATATCATATTGATTAACTGATTTAAATATCAGTTTTTAGCTTAAGAAAACGACAAAACAAGAAAAGAATTATGATAATGCTACTAGAATCTTTTTATTATAATTGGTATTTTCACTTTTCTTTTGGATGCATATACTCAGCCGTATTGCTCGAAGATTTTCTTGGTTTTTATATGTACTTTGGGCAGAACTTACAGAAAAGTATTGGCGAAAATATGCATGTATATAATAACACAAACATTGGCGTAAGGATAGGGAGATGTGGAATTTAATAGTTTCAGTGTAGGTAAACGTCACCAGCTTTTGGCATTTAGCAATGATCAAATTTCTTTCGTTGGCCAGAGCTTTTGGTATGTTCAGCTACCAAAAAATGTACCATTGGCCACGCATGTTCCAAGTTTTATACAGGTCAACCTAATATTTAGAACTTGGGGCTTGATCCCAATGGCTCAACAGCCCTGTTAGAGGGTGAACTTTTCCCAGGACTGATCGAGGTTGTTATCATTGAACTAAAAAAAGTATAAAATCCATCAAATATTGTGTAATTTAATGATATATTGATTTCGAGTGAAGAAGAAAGAAAATCGATTCAAATTATCAACTTTCACTCTTAAAATAAAACAATTTTAATCTCAAGTGTAAAATGTTTTGCAGCATTTCTTCCCCTGATTTCGACTATTGTTGTTTCTACTTGACAAACATGTGTAGGAAAAGTTGACAAACGAAACAAAGTCTGCTGCAACTAAGAATTTCTTCCATGAATTTGAAAATGCATGCTAATTAATCTATGGTTACAGAACTTAATATTTTCATTCAATTTTTCAGACATAAGTTGAGATGGCCGAGTTGGTCTAAGGCGCCAGATTAAGGTTCTGGTCCGAAAGGGCGTGGGTTCAAATCCCACTCTCAACAATTCCCTTTTCGTTTTTCTCCCTAGTGTTTGGACTAAACGATTTATTTTATGGGCCAACTAAGTTGGGCCAAACATATTGAACTTGTACCAATCGACCATAAAGAATCCAACTTGCTTGTTGGTCTGGAATCTGTAGGTCAACTAAGTTGGGCCAGACCTTAATTTTTAATGTCACCATGATATTGAACTTGTCCAATTGACCATAAAGAATCAAGGTTGCTTGTTGGTCTGGAATCTGTATTGTCCACATTGGATTTGATTCTAGTTGGGCCACACTTACTACTTGAAGTGAAAATAATAAAACAGGGAGCCCATCATTTTTTTTCTTTTACTTTTTCCTTTAACAAATTCAACTTCATCTTATTCTTAGAAAAAATGATTTTCAGAATTCATTTTTGTAAATTGATTTGTTTCTTCTGAAAAAATATGCTCTTAAGAGGGACATTCTCCACTTAATGTGATGTTTGTTGCATTGGAGTATTTGGTTCAATGATCGATGCATACTTTTTTTTTCAAAAATTAAATTCGTACCTTTAACTATATGAAAAAAGATGTGATGGGATTTTGGGATATCAACAATAATCACAATCATATACTGACTGTTTTAACAAAGGAAAATGGCACGGTTCATGGGCAAATGCAAATCATTTAGTTTTTTTTTTTTTTTATGCAATCATTTAGCACTTTTTTTCTGTAGTTATAATAAATACACCATTCTTCACTTTACTAGAGATATGAAATAATATAAATTTAACAATTTGTATATTTATATTATATAAAATATTAAAATTTATAATATAATATTTTTATATAAAAATTATATCTTAATTCATATTAATACAAAAATATAAAATATTTTTTTAATTATTTTAAATTTATATTATTATTATTAAAATTTTAAACGATTTTATTTTCGTATCTTATTTTCGTATAACATATTTTATAATTGCTAAATTAAAAAATATATATATACATTTCATGGTAAAATTGCTAGAACGTGACCACTACGCCAAGGTTTCGGGAAAAGAGTCAGTTATTCGCAAACGTGTTTACACATCTGTAAAATAGAAAAAAACACATAGCCCTAGCTGCCGCAGCAGATCAGGAATTGGATAATAAAACAGGAAAATACAAATTAAAACACAAGCATAATATTCTACAATACATTATTTCCAGGCATAACAAACATGTAGATAACACGGTTTAAGAACAACACAATTCTACGTATTTTAGGAATACAAACACATAACCAAACTTAAATTGAGATGAGCCAAGAATGATTTGCCTAGCAACCAAAACTTGTTGCAAACCTTGGTTGCTTAAGGGAAAGTGGGTAGGTGCAACAACTTAGCACCAATCCCACTAATCCCCTTGGTATCAAACTTTCAGGTTGCAACAGTTATCTGCTGTTGCAACCCACTTGTTGGGCATAACAGTGCCACGCCCATTGTCCATCATCCGTGGGAGAGAGTGGACAGAGAGTCCAAGCTGATTGATTGGGAAGTGCTCAAGATCTACCCTGGAATACATGCTGGTGACCTCTGACCCTGAAAGAGTTGAGCCTCCTGCATTGGCTTCCTTGGATGAGTTCAAGGTTCCGCTGTCAGATTGCAGACCTTCAGAATTTGGTGAACCTGTAGGGTGAGAAAGTAGTCCTTGAGCAGCTTTCTTCATTCCAATTCCATCTTTGTCACTGTTTGAAACCTTTGTATTCAAGAAACGCCCACCACATCCCCTTGGCCGGCGCATTGCATGCAGATGGCGAGAATAGTGCATATATGGCTGTGGAACAAAAGCAGAACCTAAATGTTTCTGGCATATGAAGACATTAAAATTTTCAAGTGAAGAATCATCTACTAATGAAGGACATATGATAGTGGTCTTGATTGAAATCATGCCTAATAGCTTTTGTAATCTCAACATACTGACCAAATCAACGATGTTTATATCCATAAGGCAATCATTTTTATGTAAATCACAAACTTCATAATCACAAGAATATAATCAAAGCAAAAAGCATGTATCGAGAAAAAAAAATAACTTGCTTCTAACTTGTCTCAGTAAAAGCTTTGGCCCAAATTTTCCCTGCTAAAAGAAATAGTAAATTCAGAAACCAAAAGAAGAGATCATACCTTCCGAGCTTTAGTGATTTTATTCTCAAGTACAGCCTTTGCACGGGATTGCCGACGCCTTATGATTCCATTGTACTGCTTGGCATTTACATATATTGGTCCGTCCTCTGTTGCCAAGTTCAATGGAAGCATTACACGACCCTATTTCATATGGATTAAATGAATCAGTTAAGGTGCTACATGAAGGAGAGGATAAACATGAATCAGTAAGCATTTTGAATGTTATTTATATAAGAAACCTCTCCACCATGAAACACAGTCATGAGGAAGAATATGGAAGATCCAACATAAGCGCAAGTTTCCGATTTGATAAATTATTGTAATATGATTATAAAAAAAATAGTTGGAAGCAAAAATGAATGAAAGGTAAAAGTTTTCACATGCTTGGCAGGCTTTGTAAAAGACAATTCAATTGTGAGATTGGAAAATTCTGGATCAAAGAAAATGCAACTGAATGCCAGAATTACAGTAATATTAAATTATAAAATTTTTTACTTTGACACCCTTGTTTTTGCATATTACAAAATTTAAAAGTCTCTACATGTCATATACCAATTTAGAGAGGTCAACAAGAATAAAATACATGCAGCACCATATATTGAGTACGACAATATTTTGCTTCATAATCATGATGATATAAGTGCGACAACATAAATCCAGAGAATTTGTTAGCTAGAGATAATGGAAGACAAACCGAAATTTGAGGTCCATATGTCGAGAAAACTCCATAGCATTGATCCATGTAAGGATATTTTGCACAGACCTACAGTAGCTCACAAAGAACAAAAAATTATTAACAAAGGTAGCAAAGTGATGTGAACCATTTGATGGAAGAAAGTTTCTGAGAAATAGTACCGTGGGTTGACCAAATCCTAGTTCAAAGCGAGCACGATGTTCTGAAGGAGCAGATTGCAGAGAGATGACTGCATGAGGTTTATGTCCATCCCCTGAATTTTTGCAATCACCTAAATAGGAAACCAGTTGGCTGCTTAGTGATAGTATATTAATAATTCGTGTTAAAGACCAAATTATCTGCATGTTACAACTATGTATCAGAGTTTTTGCTCTTTTCTACCACACAAATGAACCAACATAAGTTACAGTGATAAGTATGTCATAAAATTTGTAGATCATCATATACACAGTATTGGATGGAAAAGAAAAATCCTTGAGCAAGTTGCATAAAGAGGAGCCATTAAGGGAATAAATTTATCCATCAGTGGACTACATTAGATAATAAGGGCAAATGGCAAGGGAACTAGAGCCAACATTAATCCTAGCTAGCAGGCTAGAAAGAAGCAGTATAACTACATAATCATCTTGTTCTTCACTGAATTCTAAATCGATGGAAGATAATCCATGCAGTTTTAACCTTCACATAAAAGTGCTCTATTCAAGTTTAATAACAATCCATGCAGCGAGCAGTAGTTTTAACCTTCAGATAAAAGTACTCTATTCTTTGAGCAAGTACTGGCTCGTTCCCGTAAAAAGGTATGAATTAAACAACTCTAAGATGCAACTGAAATGTTCTGCTATTTTTTTTTTTATTTACGTCCATCATTATGCACAAAAACCTTTTACAGGCTGCATTCCCCAACGGCGCTACATGATGATAACATTCGAAGAATGTCCTTAACAAAAGCTAATCATTTGTCAAGTGCCTGATGTTCTAATAACTTTTGACTTTGACACCAACAAACCTGACAATTTTCGTTTAGCAGTGAATCCTAAAGCATCATCACAAATTGCAGGCATCCCAGCCTTGGTAGTTCTTTTATTTTATATTTATATACATAATCCTGGCATTTCATCAGAAAACTTCTTTTATTCTTCTTTTCCCCGAATCTTATCTTGCCTGTAGTCATTTTCTGTCTTAAAGTTATAACTTACACAATTTGGTGAATCGTGAAAATTAACATAACCTGGGAACGTTCATTCGTAGCACCTCATTTGCACTATAAATGGAATCCAAAGACCATTTGGTACAAAATTCCTCATAGATAGCACAAAGATCCTTCTGTATTGACCTTATTATTTGTCGATTCAGCTAGCGTCTTTAAATTACTTAACAAACAAAATTATTTGAAAAACTTTTCAAAGTGAAGAAGTGAAATTTATAAAAGATGCTTTAAGTTGCCTTCTCCTTTAAGTTTCCAATATCCTACGGCATGGGTGCAACTTTTAATTACTTTATCTAATATGACAAAAGTAGTATTCATACGTTCAAATGTAAAAGAATCTCAAAGCTAAGTGTTATAAGGTGAGAGTCATTTCTAAAATTCTAATGTTTAATGTGATTTTGGTTTTGTGTTGGATTTGACGGGCATATCAAACTTTAACAGGAGAGATTGTAACGCTCACAATCTCACTTTGGCTAATTGTAAGATAAAATATAATATATGTAGAGATTTAAACCCATATTGTGAAAGGTCTGTTGTAATAAAAAAACCTTAAGACTTTTAAGTTAAAACAGATGACATCTCCTAAGTTACGTACGAGTCTCTGCAACATCTATTTCCTAGGAAATTCCCTTTCTTAAAGATTTGCAAAGACTAAATATGGCAGGGGAGGATGATCCAACCTTCCTACTATAAGCTCTCTTGCCTTGATTGAAACTGGTATTAATATCACTCTTGAGAATTACTCTACTAAATAAGGCCAAACCATAAATTTATATCCCCAAGCCACAAATTTTAGTTTGCCTGTCACAATCTTGTCTCTAAACCAAATTGTAATATAAAAGCTGGATGTAATAATTGATCTTCATAATGTGCTTTCTAGACAATCTTCAAATCTAAGAACTCCCAGAGTACCTTATTCACCCTTTCCTTGTTTAAGTAAGGCTCAAGAACAGCTCCCAAGAGAAAGAGAAGAGAAGAGAAGAAATATAGAAACAAAGGCCTTTGTCTAACAACATGAAGTTCTATATAACCACAGGCGTATAAATATTTGGCTATAGCAAATTTAATAATAGAAACAAGATTTTAAGTGGTAAACCTAAAAATTGAGATGAGATTACCAGGGAATATAGTGAACCGAGCAGGATTTCCTTTATTCAGTTCTTGTTCAGTACCCCTGTCAGCTTGTTTAGTGGAAGTGACTTGGTCTCCACCGGAGGGATGTTCCATCAACAAAGGCTTCAATTGGCCACAAGACTCCCCATAAACGGATTGAGATCCTAAGCCACTCCACCAAGGCAGTGATGGTACTGAATCCAACTGCCCCAGGGGATTATGTACAATCCCATCATGTTCTTTAAGATACAGAGTTTGCATGGCCATACCCTCTCAAAGTGATCCCAGCAGTGTCGTCCCCCCTTGCAACTAACTATATTTCAATTATTCAACTATTTCCTGCAATATGAAACATGTAATTAAACATACATCGTGAAATTTTGCTAAATTTTGATATACAAATTTGGAAGGAAAATCCTATAAAACATTTTCGATAAGGTTTCATAGAAAAAACCTCTACCGTGACTTGTTGAGATCTCCTTTCCTTTGGACCCAAAGTCACAACGGTCACAGGGAAACCTTAAATAAAATCAAGCTTGATTAGAATCCGAGTTTTAGAGCAGTTGATTTATGTATTCGTCGGACGATCTAATAAGATTCAAATCCCAACACCTGCAATCTTTTACCTAAGCTACGAGGATAAAAAAAAAACATATATATATATATATATAAGTTTGATTAATAATATAAAACAAACATGAAAAAAGAGTTGTCCCTGGTCAAAGTTCACTCTTTCTAAAACAATAAACTTGGATTTTCTATACAAATATAAGCCAAAAATTTCTCAGAATAAAAAGCCATGGCAAATACAAAAAGGGCCAAAACCCCATAGCTAGAAACAAAGATGAACTGAGATGGAAGCAAAAAAACTCAAAAACCCTGATGGAGCAAAGGGTTAAAAAAGATAAACCCAGTAGAGAAAGATCATCAGAGACTAAACAGAAGAAGAAGAAGAAGAAGAAGAAGAAGATTCTGATGATGATAACCAGAAACTTCAACGAAAGAGAAAAAGAAAAAAGAGAAGTGCTCACATAAGAGTAAAATTAAGAGAAGAAGCTGGTTGTAAAGTAGTTTCCTAGTTGTAGACAAGGCAGGGAAACCCTATTTGTTAGGAGCCATGTGGGTACAATTTCAAGCAAAAGAATTGGAGAGAAAAGAGAGAGAGAGAGAGAGAGAGAGAGAGAGAGACGGCCGATGGAAGCGCACAAGTGTAATGGAACTACAAGCCGCTTACCAATGAGATTCGGTTCTCATGCAACTCTTCTGCACTGTACAATACAATAATAAATAAAAACATTAAATTAAAAAGTAAATACAAAACCAAAATCAAATCCGAATCCGAACCATATTTTTTATTTAAATAGATATACTATTTTTATTTATATTAAATATATATAAAATATAAAAATTTTTATATTATAATTTATGATAATAATGTGTTTAAATATAAAACATATTTTTTAAAATTTTACTTTACAACAATTTTAATTTGTAAAATTTTTAAATTTTTATCTTATTATCATGTAAAAAATTGTCGCTGTCATTTTCATTTCTTCTCTCTTACTTTTTTTTTTTTTAGTTTTTTTATAATTAAAGTTTCAGACAGGGAGGACCCCATTTTCCCTGTCCCTGCACCATTTTTCTTGTCCAAAGTAAGGGTTGTTGGATTATGTAATTAAGGAAAAATGGCTAAACTTTTTGCAAATATTTTAACTGCCAACCCATTCTTTTATAGCAACAGCTATAACAGTCTGTTTTATTTTTTATAAGTAACTGACAACATGGGTTTCAAGTTTATCAGAGATTTTATTGAGAAGCCTAGTTATCAAATAAGAAAAAAAGAACATCTTTTGAGAATAAAAATAAGACACAACAAAAGCTGTCCTTTGTGAATGTATGCTCACCCGACAGTTTTCAAATTTTGGGTTTTTTTTTAAATATAATAAAATATACTTACTATTTTTTTTGATAAAAAAATTAGATAAATAAATTATTCAATTTTTTAAATCAAAATAAAATATATATTATTTGACAATTTAAAATAAGTAATTATAAATTATACATTCAATATAATCTAATAAATGATTATCAATAAATCCCAAATTTAAGATCTCTTCATCGATACGAACGAATTTTAATCAATTAAATCAATCACTTGTTGATAAATATACGTATTAATTAGGAATTTGATTTAAGAGCTCAAAATACTTCATAAATGTTTGATTCAAAAAATTTTAGATTTTGAAAAACAATTATATTAAGAGAAAAGTAGTATTGATTGAAAATATATTATTTTTAAGTTTTGTTAATTTAAGAAATATAATATTTTTATATTTGGTTTAGAAAATTATAAAATGATTTAGATAAATGTAAGATTTATGTGTTTAGCTTAAAAAAATATAATAAAGTCTTTTACTATATTGTTTTTGATTAGGGATGGCATCGGGTCGGGTTCGGGGCGGGTTTTGCTCGCCCCGAACCCGATCCGATTTTTTGCTCATCAAATCCGACCCCGACCCGATCCGAATTATTTTAATACCCGATTTCGATCCGATCCGATAATATGTAAACCGTATCCGATCCGACCCTACCCGAAATTAATAAAATATTATTTTTAAAATATAAAATATTATTTTTTAAATATAAATATTTAAAAATATCATTATATAAATATATATATATAAATAAATAATAATTAATTAATTAAAAATAATTTTTTAATAATGTCGGGTCGGGTAGGGTCGGGTTTTAGGCATACCCGACCCCGACTATGACCTAAATTTACCCGACCCGACCCCAACCCGAAACTCGAAATTAAAAAAAAAAACCCGACCCTATAGGGTCGGGTCGGGCCAAAACCCGTCGGGGACGGGCTTGATTGCCGTCCCTATTTTTGATGATTCGTGAATAATACGTTCATAATATTTATATATAAATAAAACATAACACATGAATAACAAATTATCTTTGTTGAAATTAAAGATTTCTAAAAAAGAATTTTTTTTATATTTTTAACAAAAATAATCTTATAATCCTAATTATTATCTTAACTTTGATTATTTCTACATAAAGAAAATACGTAGAGTACATTTTTATTTTAAAAATATGATCTTTGTAAAACTTTAAGAATTTCAAAAATAAAATTTCAACATTCACTATATTTTTTATCTTAACAATGCAATCTTTGATAAATTTTCAATATTTCGAAAATAAAATTTTTACATATAGCATGTTTTATCTTTAAAATATGGTCTTTGATAAAATTCATAATTCAAAATAAAAGTTTTAGTATACATTAAGTTTTTTATCTTAAAAACACAATTTTTGTTAAAATTTCATAATTTCAAAAATAAAATTTCAATATCTATTACATTTTCATCTTAAAAATATGATTTTTGTTAAAATTTTAAATTTTCAAAATATCTTAATAATATGATATTTATTAAAATTTCATAATTTCAAAAATATAATTTTAACATCCAAAACGCTTTTATCTTAAAAATTCAATACTCGTTGAAACTATAAATAAACAAAAATTACATTTATTTTGTAATTTTAAGAGATTAAAAGAATACTATAATCTAAATATGCAATTATATAAGGACAATTAAGGTAAAATTTTTATTTTTCTTCTAAAATCTTAAAAAAAAAAACCTAAAAAAAGATAAAAAATTTTATTTCCTTATATATTTTTTAATATTGTTGAAAATTTAAAAAAATCTAAAAAATCACATACTGTGAACTAAATTAAAGAATTAAATTACGAAGATAAAATTTTGACAAAAAATTCTACTTTTCTTCAAATCAAACACATCCTTAATAATCAGCTAGTCAACTGCTAATTACTAAAAAATGCTTATATCTAAAATAATGCTAATAATTATAATCGAGGATATTTTTCTTTTTAATTAAATGGAAGAATTTCAAACTTTGTGCTTTGCTGTATGCCACAAATATCAATTACGAAAGAAATAAAATAGTTAGTATGTGGCTTTCTGCTTAACTTTACTTAGCACATACGCTTCAGTGACATCAAGATTCCTTCTTTAATTTTCAAGAAAACTAATGGACATTAATCATTACAGAAAGCGAAAAATTTTCTAGAAACCAAAAAATAATAAGCAAGGAAAGAAAGACCGCCACCATTAATATTTTATATGTGATATATCTAAGTACACTTTATCAGAGTTCCTTATATTAAGTTATATATAATTTTTAACTCAAAATTTAATTTAATTAATTTATATATTGTTCTTAAAAAATATTATTTAATAAATTTAAAATTTATGCTATGATAACTTTTATAATATATATAATTCTTGATAAGCCATTTTCCAGTCATTTTCGCATGTTGGTTTGAGCTAGAATTGGGCTAAAGTAAAGATTCTCCTACATAAACCACAGTTTTTTTTTTTTTTTTTCTAACCATGAGTCAATTTTTGAGGCATGTTAATAAGATCTTTGTAATGGCAAATTAGGATGCAGAAAAAGATATTATAGGGATACAGTAGTGGTGCCTGCCGGCTAAAGCCGAGCAGCTCTTGTCATTGTATTCATCTTGTTAAACACGATTTTCTTACCTTTCACTTCACTAATTTATATTATTGGATTTTATCTTGGTCACATTTATATGTGTATGTGTTTATGTATTTATCACATTGTCTTAGGATAATGAGATGTATATGCCAAAAATTATATTTATATTAAGCTTTCTCCAGATAAAACATAATAAGAATTCGAATCTTTTTTTTTTTTAAAGTTTTACTTGAATAAACGGTCATATCAGAGAGCTCAATTAAATCAAAATTAACGTTTTGTACATAACTTGATAATTAGGTACTACTTATTTTTTAATCAAATAGGGTATGGCGTAAATTGGATGTTTATGGGTGCAAAAAAAAATCTACCCAAAAGAAAAAGTATCTAAGAAGTTAGCCCTAATAATTTGTATGCATATTGACAAAACATAGGGGAGGTTATGAGGGGGACTCATTCTTCTTCAAAAATGCCATAAAATGTCATGATCATACAAAAAAAATTTTATTATCTTCTCTTTTACTAATGTCCCATTTGGGTAGGTAAAGCCTCGGATTAAACCCATGATCTGAAGGATGAGACATGCTCCCTTGTCTTATTGAGCCATGGGCTCCAGCCTGGAAAACCCTGGACTCTTAGCCAGGGTCAACTGGAATAGAACATCAAAGATTTCTTCTTGTTTTTGTTGTGAAGTTAGCTGCTGCTAAATGATCAATGCCATGTCTTTTTCATTTTTTTTGACATAGTTGGTGCCAAACAGACGAACCTTTCAACCCCACTTTTTGCCTAACGATTACATCGACAATTAAATCATTACTGATTTTAGCTAAGTTGTTCGATTTATTTATTCGATTCTTCCCCTCCCATAGTTAGGTTAGATAATAATTAAGGAGGATTATATTTAAATATATTTTTTAAAAAATTATTTAATACATAATAGATTTTTTTAATCCTACAAATAAAATTAAAAAACTAACACATCGCACTTTTTTTAATTATTACTCACTTATGAAATCTAAAAATTTTATTATCGATGTATTTAATAATTTTTCATATTTTATATGCAAAACTCATTCTTTCCTTCATATATTTTAATTTATTTTTAATTTTTTTTGTACATAAGATGGCATAATTTATGGGGAAGGGGGTAGGGGTTTTGGTGCTAAAACAAGATTTCTATATCCTACAAAAAAACTGTTTAGTCATTAGGCTAAAAAGCTGAGGATTATTTTTAATTCTGATTTTATTATTTCAAATATTTTATTAAATGAGAATTTTTTTCTTCTATTTTTTTGTTATAAAATAATAAAAAAAAAGTAGCACTCATTGTTTGCATGAAAGGTCTATGGAATTATGTCCTAGAAGCAAAAATATAAGAAAATATTTAAAAGGAAAAACATGTTAGAAGTACGATATGATATATCTAATTAATTTTCACTCAAGATGCTTCCAAGAAAATGTTGACTGATCACTGTCCTTTGTCTGGAAATTTGGTTACGCTTTAAGGTTGTTGATCTAAATTGACTTTCTTTCTTTTTTTTTTCTTTCTTTTTGGTGGGGAGAGATGATTTTTAGACATTTTTTGTAATAATAACCAGACACAGTACTAAAGCATGCAAAATTATGTTGGTATAGTTACTAGATTTATGATTGTCTTCAACAACTTTGTTT